TAGGTGATAATCCTACTCAGCGTAACCACCACGGGACGTATAACGCTCGGGGGAGAAACGCGTGGGTGCCCTCGGAGTACGCATACTCCGACGAGGCGCTACAGAATCTTCTACCTGCTCTGGACTAGAAGCCAGCACATCAGCGTTAGTGCGAGTAGACAAAGTCGAACCACCACTACGAGCAGAGACTACCGGAGTGTCTGTCGCGGCCGGGGAGGTTCCCAAAGCAGGGGTAGTAGGGATCCCGTCAGGAATTACGAGATCAGTAGAGGACTCAACAGTCGCTTCCTCTACTTGTACCTCAGGGGCAGGTGCTGGATCTGGACCTCGAGTCAACGGTAACGTCTCATCGGTACCAGAAGATGTTGTAATCGAGCTCGACGAAACTAGCTGAGACGTATTCCTAGAGGGGCCTGTAGAGACCGGGGCGTCCGAGACCAATCCAGAACCCAGACTTAAAGACGGTGTCTCGCCAGAGTCGACCAAAGTTGGCGAAACAGAGGGCAGTTGCTGACGCTGAGCTGAGATCAACACAGAAGGGGCACTTAACGTTTGCCTTGAGGAAGGCCCAGAATGACCTAACAACTGCTCGAAGTCGGCTGCAGGGGCCGACACTACATGGGTGGGAGTGGAAGCCGAGAAAGGCAGTGACCTTCTAGGGGCACCACATTCCTGCGAAGCAGAATCCAGTCCCAACGAGGGAGAACCACCAGAGGGCCCCAAACCAGCAGGTACCACAGCAGGCCCAGACCTACCAGTAGCCTGGGAAACCGGCCCACTCGTGGCAGGAGACCGGAGAACGGCAGACCCTAATTGTACAGGAACTGGAATAGGGGTTTCCAGTCTCGGCATACCGACCTGTGCAGAACCAGGCGATGATGCCTCCAGTCTCGGAAGCAGATCATCTCGTCTTTCAGCTAGAGGGTCAAGATCATCACCATCATACACATAGGGAATGTCGACCAACCGAAGATTAGCAGGAGCTTCGACGTCCGGGACAACCGAAGATCTAGCAGACCGTCTAGAAGCAGCCGAGCGAACCAACTCATCACGAAATGGAAACTGCTCTATACGCGGCCCCTCTTCTACAGGAGGATCCAACCTAACAATGCCAAGCTCTACCGGGACATCGGCAGGCTGTACCGGATCGGGAACTATATAGTCAGTAGAGATCACCTTCTCTTCCTTGGAGGGGTAGTGTCGAAGGACCACCGTCTTCAAGTGTGTTCCCGGGACGAACTTAGCAATATACCAATTCAACTGCCATTTAGGTAATAACTTCCGACCTGGCAGATTGTTAGGATGGTGTATCCTCAGCCTTACACGTTGTCCCACAAAATGTCGACGTGCAGCAGCAATCTTCTCCCTCTCTTTCAGCGCTTGGAACCCAGCACCATGAGCAGTAACCCACTCGTCGACATTGTCCTCGATACAAGCCCGAATACGAGACAAATGGCGCTGATAACCTTGTGGATCAAACACATAATCAACGTATGGTTCCAGAGCTGGGAAAAATAACGTAGGCGGCTCCCGCCCATACATTAGGAAAAACGGGGCATACCCAGTCACACTATGAGGTGTAGTGTTGTAGGCCCACAACACTGACCGTAAGTGATCCTGCCAGGTATCCACCCTCGTCACATGAGTCCTCAATAAATTGAGAATGGTGCTGTTAAACCTCTCCACATGACCATTTGCATTGGGATGATAGACCG